TTAAAACACTACATAAAATACACCACGCTGTTTGGAACAAAACATACAAAAAAAATTATTATTATTTTTGAAATGGCATCCTTTAGCGTTAGGATGAAAGCACAATGGATTTTATTTCTTTTTGTTTACTAGCTGGTTCCCTAGACAGAAAATTATGTCTTTCCCTGCACCCTGGATAACCCAAAAGGAACACCAAATATGGATGATACAGCTTTGCACCAGTTCCGTCGCAGGAGTTGTTGGAATTTTTCACCGTAGCAATGCATCCGCCTGCGGGACTTCTCCTCCGGGTTTCGATTCAGCGATTTCCTTCACTTTGATGAGTTGTCGTCCGCGGTTAGCGGATCCCATGCAGTCGGGCCGCTGGTGATGGTATTGCTATACATGGTCTTTGGTGGGGGATTAAATTCCAGACTACAATCCAGCACTTAAATGTGTGATATCTGCCAGACAGATGAAAGGGTTAAGCTGTGACAAAGAAACGCTGTCTGAGGCGACATTTTTTTTTACTGATACTAAACTGCATAGTGTCCACCATCGTCTCTGTAACTGTAGCTGTCCTCCGCTCAAAAGTATACAGAGTTTTAGTTGTAAACAAATTTAGAATTTTAACAGGACATTTCGTAAATGCAACTTGGAAATGCAATTGAGTTTATCTACATCATAGTCTATACATCTTGCATGATCAATAGTCAGTTTAAAAAAAAAAGAAGAAAAAAGTCGATAAATCAATGAAGATGATAACATTATAAATCTTTTTAATTTTCATTAATTATTATTATTAAATTTAATACATTTATAATTCTATAATATGTCATGATCACGATTCATAATTGATGAGACGAAGACAATCTCAGCAAAACTAACCGGTGCGGTGAAAGTAGCAAGGTAATAGCACCAGCATTTATTATTTCAAAGAAAACAAGTAGTGAGTGCTGAATGGCTTCGCAAATGTTATACTTGTGGATGTCACGTTTTTAATGTTGAAAGTAAAATTATTTTCAAAGTGGGCCACCTTCAGATAAGTTTAATGGTGTTTAAGTTTGATATTTAGCAAACAACTACATTTTGGTCCTGTGGCTTCAACAGTAAAAATTTATATATTCTTATATTCTCCATGCTATATATGTGTTGAGGAATTAATTATAAAATGAAGAATATTTTCTAAAAAAAATATAACAGTGAAAAACTATTAAAATTGAATTGGATACAAAATTTCAAAATTTATTTTCAGAAAATCTTTTGGATTTTTCTTTTTAAATTTAGTTTAACATACAATAATTTTAATATTTCATCGCAGTGCTCTCGAATTTCGTTAAAAAATCTGGTTGTTTCATCTAAAAGTGGACACATTTTCTCCATCTTTAACCTTCATACTTGCAAGGTTGGAGATGAGATCCTTCACGCCCCACTGTTTATCTTTAGCATCATTTGTATCGTTACCAATTCCATCAACATACGGGTATTTATTAGACAGTGTATTGCACCAGACAGCACCACGGAGTTCTTGTCGGCGTTATCAATTTCCAATCATCTTGGGTGTGCATTGAATATTTCAAAAACTGATTGCGCTATTACTTAGATAAATTTCCAATAAGCTCAAGCCAAAAATCTGGAATATCTACACCATTACAACAAGGGTATCCACATAGATACACGATATATGTAAAATAATGAACCGTTCGACCACCATGTATATATCCATGTTCTTCAGCCCCTGAGAGTAGAAACCGTTACAAAAGCTAAAAAAAAAAATTGTTTGTATTTTAACATAATGTTCCGTGTTGATTTACTTACCACGCTGGCTGAACACGATAATCGTCTTGTTTTCAACTCAACAACATCGTCTGAAACTCAACTTCCGCTTCCGCCGCCATGATTATCGTTGTCATAACGACGTTTACTACGACGGCACGACTCATTGCGTTCAATAAATCGCGAATAGTGGCCACGCATTCAAATCGCTCACATAACCTCCAGGCTCAAGATCAAACGAAGACACATGGGGATGTCAAATCGAATGAAAGCCAGTAATACCGAGAAGAGAAGCGTAAACCAGGGTTCCTTCTAAGTTCAGCTTATACTGTGCAACCAACGCCGCCAACGCCACCAACGCCGCCAACGCCGCCAACGCCACCAAAGCCACCAACGCCACCAAAATCAACGCATGAACACACGTGAGCTTGAACAGCTGAACGATGACAGCTGCAACAGCAATATTTCTCTGAAACGTGAGTCGAATTTTCGACCATGGCAGTGTCCATGGTTTCTCGGATGGACACAACATGAGATCTACTTATTGAAGCTTGTTGTCGATGGTCTAAACCGGTCACATCAATTTTTTTTCCTTCCACATGAAGATGAGCCAAAAATACAGGAAAAACTATACAATTGTGTTCGCAAATCAAAATAAAAGCATTTGTCCTTTCTCCTTTCGTGAAAGCTCAGCGGGTCTGAAAGAAATTCTTGGTGGACCAGAAAATTACAATTTCACTGTTTCAGTCATTATCCTTATAAATTTATGTATTTTCCTTGTTAATTTATTGCAACATTTTCCTTATTAGCCTAACTTGTTGTTTTTTCAATCATTTTTCTTGTTAACTTGTGTTTGCTCCAATCATTTTCCTCGTGAACAAGTGTCTTGCTATTTAGTTGATCTGGGAACGTCCTCAGTGAAAATGTAATTGAAAATTGTTGCTTGAAATTTGATTTCTGTTCGTATGACGCACAATGGACCATTTAGCATATATAAAGCACGGCCATCCAAAAAGTCGTCTGTTAACAATAAATGACTTTTTAAACGCATCCATATGAAAACGATTAACCTCATCTTCGGGGCTTCGTGATTGAACGAGCGATGTTTATGTCCCACCGTGTACAAATATAAACACGTGCTGTAATTATAAACTCCATCTGGTGCCGGGTTTCATAAAAACATACGAAATTTAGACCTACATAAATGATGAAATGGTCGCGATGTAAAGAAATGATACACAGGACATTGTTTGCGGGATTTCCACGGGTGCAAGTAGATCGACAGTGCATGGTGAAAGCTTGGAAAGCATCGGGAATCTTGTTTGCTGGAAGTTTTCTTCTGTCCTTGTTGGACAATCTTACATAACCTCACGAAATAGAATATTTATTGGGAAAAAAAATCATTGAAAGAATGAAATCTTTTTTCTTTTAGCAGTCTAGCTCACTTCTCCATGGGGCAAAATTTCTAGCTTTTAACATATGTTACATAGGTTATTGTATATATATGTTTCTTCGTATGCTTCTTTGAAATCGCAATTGCTACCCTACTTCAAAATTATATATATATATATTGTTAAAAAAGAGAAATCATATTACAAATCACATAATATCTATTAATAGGGTCAGACAACTGACCGTTTCAAATGGCATTTTAAAATCATTGATCCCTATCTATTCGTTGCTCTCTAAATGTAAAAGCTATTGATTGGTTACATGTTTTTTTTTCTAAAACATAATGCATAATATGTTTTTAAGAAAATCTTTTATTATATTAAATTCAACTTATTTCAAAAAAGGGGAATTAATCTACCATTTTTTTGTGTGTTTCCTAATCGAATAGTTTTCTCAGTTTTTTTCTCCGCGCCCCCCCCCTCCCCCCCCCCCCCCCAGTTACATTTTTTTTTTTCTAAAACATAATGCATAATATGTTTTTAAGAAAATTTTTTATTATATTAAATTCAACTTATTTCAAAAAAGGGGAATTAATCTACCATTTTTTTGTGTGTTTCCTAATCGAATAGTTTTCTCAGTTTTTTTCTCCGCGCCCCCCCCCTCCCCCCCCCCAAACCAAACTAAACTTATGTAGGCCTAGCTTTGGCGTAATAACTACGCTCTAGTATAATTCTAACTCTCTCCATCTCTTGCTCTGTTTTACATGCAACGCAAGCAATTAAGTTTCGTGAAATCTACATTTAAAACATGAGCCGATTTCAAAGAAGATTACACAACAAAAAATAATTAAAAAATCCATGAAACAATTTTGTGTCACCCTTGAGGATATTACACACACACATATTATTGAAATAAAGCTTAACACACTTTATAATTAGTCTGTATATTTTTTTTTGTATACAGCAATTACAAGCCAAAACTGTATACAATTATTTTTTTAAAAAATGACATAAATTGGCACTACGCTGAAATATAATTTTCAGATGTATTTGTATAGCGGGGCAAGTTCACGACAATTATAGGATAAAATACCATCTTTAAAACAACAACATTTGTGTAGATCCGTCCTTTGGATCTCGACCAATAGACGACCAGCTTATGAACATCTTATAAAAATTTAGTGTTTAAAACGCCCATCTTTTAAAGCCTCTCGTGATTAGCAAACGATTCCATCCACAATGACACATACAACAAAAAATCGTTTATTTTTCATATTTAAAATGATCTACTGAAAGTCAGAATATGTTCGTAGTTTTTTTTTTAAACTCTCGTTTTATTTTGCTTTTTTTTTTTTTGTTTTTAAAAACCCAAAAAAAAGAGCTTTAAACTTAATAAAACGAGTTTTAACAAAGTGTGGCGCACATTCAAAACATAGCGACTGAGTAAAGCGTTGCACTAAAAAACTTTTAAAAGTCATAAAAAAAAAAAAACGTTTGAAAATGAAAACATGTATAAAATCAGCCTGTATCCAAGAGTAAGCTTTCTTTGGGCAAGTGTTGGGAATCTTATTTATCATAAAATACTGTAACTGTTTTTATTGTTAGCTTGCGCAGTTATTGTCGTAACTTTAGTAAACTTTGAAATGAAATATTTTCAAATTTTGATCTGTCAATTTGCTGTTTTGTTTTAAATTGGAATTCATTAGTTTCTGCGAAGTATACATGACTACAAATGCTTTTTCGGCAAAGATACACTGTTGTCATGCAAAGTAAAATATGGAATCTGTGACAAACGGTGTAAGTTTGCAATTCGATACTTCACCACCACCAAAGCAACTGATAACCCAAGGCGCGTACCAGCTGTCAATAGAAATACTTCACGTGCCTCTCTTCATCTTCAGCATCCTCGGCATCGTAACCAACAGCATCAACATCAGGGTTTTCGTCAGGCAGGGCGTCACGTCAGACAGCGTCACCATCTGCCTGTTCGCGCTGTCCATCTCCGACCTGCTGGGCTGTGCCTTCATGCTGCCGCAGCCCGTGTGTTTTTACCTGCAGCACCGGATCGACAGCGCGTCCACGCTGATACGGAACTGTCTGACCTTCACGACGATGACCACGACCTACCCCCACCTGATCTGCAATAAAATCACGTGTCTGATCACCGTCTACCTGTCGGTGGAGAGGGCGCTGTGTGTTCTCGCGCCGCTCAAGGTGAAAACGCTCATCAAAACAAAAAACACGGCGTTCGTTATGGTGGCGATCTACGTTTTCATGGTGACCGCGCACACGCCGTACGCGGCCAGCACGTACCTTGCGTGGATCCCGGACACGTCGAGCATCGGGACCCTCAAAGCTGTCGTGTTGAGCACGTCGCTGGGTCGGGTCTTTTTCATGCTCAACAACATCTTCATCACCATCGGACTCACCAATATCGCCATGTTCACAGTCACCATATCAACCGCTGCCATGATCATGCGTCTGAACGCGTTGGTGAAATGGCGGGCGGTCGCCACAAACCGGGGAGGAGAACGTCACTCTGTTCCGGATTCAGCTGTAGATACCAAGATTGTAGGACAATCAAAACCGCTTTCGGCCAGAAATCTGGAGATCAGTAAGACGGTGACGGCCATAACCTCCGTTTACCTGGCCAGTTTGTTATGCACACACGTCCCCGCATTGGCAACTTTCGCCGTGCCGGGAATGAGCTCGTCTGATTACAACAGCAACCTGTTCGAGATTATCTACACTCTGAGATTTGACTTTGATGTCATCAACTCGTCGGTTCATTTTTTCTTCTACGTCCGTATGAGCTCCAAGTACAGGAGGACATTTAACGGCCTCGTACAGCGTCGTTGATTGGTGGTTACAAGGGTGAGGGGCAGAGGCGTAGGAATGGGGAGGTAGTGGATGCGATCCACCCCAGTGGCACTTTTTAAAAATATTTATGTGCTTGAAGGGTGGGGGAAGCATTTTTGACCAAAATACTTCAGTTTTTTTGTTGGTTTTTTTTTGGGCGGGGGAGGGAAAACATATGTGCCCGCCTCGAGGGAGGGACCTGACTGGGTTGGGGGCACTAATGGTATTCGGTATTTTATGATTCAACACATTTTGATTCATCTCTTTGTTGTACCGGTATGTAACGTTTGATTGTTTAAGAGTGTAAGAGTAGGTTAAATTATGGAGTTTGTTTTAGAGTCTCATGATACGTGACATTGTGCAGCTTTCGGCTTTATGGAAGTTGGGGTAATAAGGGGAGAGACTGCAATCAGGTTAGTACAAAATAAAAAGAGTAAAACAGAGAAGGGTTAAACCTGAACAAATAAACGCAACAAAACACTTCTATTACTGCCCACAGATACTACTTACCAGCTAAGTGCTATTTCTTATTTTTATTTTTATACCGTTTTTTTTTCTGTTGTTTTGTTCGCTGACGAAGGCTTTCTGCCGACACGTTCGCTGTTTTGTTGCGTTTCTTTTTTCAGGTTTAACCCTACTCTGTTTTACTCTTTTTATTTATGGGAGTTGTGGAGAAATCTCAGGCAGTACGATTTTATGTGTTGAGGTTTATGTTTACTTAAATAACAACAGGGTCACAAAAACAATGGTTCGCGTGTTGTGAAGAACTGTGCCAAGCAGGGCTGGTACACCTTGGGAAATTTCCCAAGATCTTGGGAATTTACTACCCCATTCAGGGCCAAAACTCACTTTTTTATTTTAAAATTCCCAAGATCGTTTTAACTTAAAACAACTCTTATATACTTTCATGATCTTGGGACAGCTTGGGAAATGTTTTGACCAAATCTTTGGAATCATAAAAAAAATGAGTGGCAGCCCTGGTGCCGAGCGGTATCGGCGTGATTAGCGCCAAGACTCAACTTCAGTGAAAATACAGATTCTGAAATCTACAGAGTCACTATGCTTTGTCGTTGTTGTTTTTTTTAAAATGTAAATTATCACATGAACAGTGATTGCCGTGACTAGAGCATTTTGTCTTGATAGCAACAAGAGAAAACACGAAATTTGGGAAAAGTTAACAAAGGACTGTTGGTGTAAATATACCACAAAGTTGTCCCCCTTTCAACTACTGTACTTGATGTAAACTGAACATTGTCATATTTATCGAACCGCATTCGAACCCAATCTATTTCCAATAGTTTATTGTTTAATTTTCTGGCGTTTTGATAATGTGTTGATTTATTTATGGATATAGTGAACAGTTTGGTGGGTCGTATCGTAGCATTATCATACAATGGTCTTTTTTGTGGTCTTCTGCAAATATTTTCAAGAGTTGAGGTCTTTCTAAGATATTTTTTTGCTGCACTGTATTCAGGATAAAATATAAACATTTTATAAAACAATTGATTTCACAATATTTTTTATATATATTTTTGTTAGCGTAAAACTGCAGCAAATATGACAGTGTAACGTTAGCCCTATTTTATCGCATCATTTTTGTGACGTTTTCTCTAACATCTTTATTTTTACAATCGCGTATTACTCACTCTTCCTTTATAAAGATTATAACATAGAAAAAATGTAGTTTATGGTACACAAAAGGTATGAATTCAATGAAAACTATATAGAATTTTAAAAAATATTTTAAGATGTTCATTTTTTTGAAGTACTTCAACATGGACATTTTTATTTTTTCCGTCACAATATTACCGACAATCTCTTGTTAAGGTTATAACATATAAATGATCTATTTTATCGTATCATTTTTGGTTGAAACCATCTAAATATTATGCCATTGAGGAAAATGTGTTTGAGGTGCGCTGTGGTGAAAGTTTTCTAGAGAGCGCACTCAGCAACCGCACGTTTCTTTAGTGCACGTTGATGCCGGTGTCGTCGTCGTTCCAGAAGGCTTAATTACATTACTGCAAGAATGGAATCGCCCAAGGAACTCTAACCCCAGCATGCTTTTAGTAAAAACGAGGTTTACAAGGTCAACCACGTCACCTTTCATGCAGGGGTGTTGCGCTATCTCATCGTGGACCTGTTGGTGTAAGAGATCATCTATAAATTTTGATTTTTAATTATTTTATATAGGAATTAAGGTGTCCTGACGTTATATTTTATCCACCGTTGTTAATTCCTAGATATTAAAAAGATGTAGATTTTAAAAAAAAAATTCCATTTCCGTTTATTATCCTACATGTAATTGATTTATCAAACGACTTCACAATTTATTGTCTATCTGTTATATAGTATATTCAAAAGTAGAAGAACATATTTAACTGGACCTTTTTAAAACAAAGTAATAGAAGATTATGTACTACTATCAATAAATACTAATTTTTCCGAAAAAAAAAACCTACAAAAAAAAAAAAAGGCAAAACTTCATATATTTAATAGTATATTCAAAAGTAGAAGAACATATTTAACTGGACCTTTTTAAAACAAAGTAATAGAAGATTATGTACTACTATCAATAAATACTAATTTTTCCGAAAAAAAAAACCTACAAAAAAAAAAAGGCAAAACTTCATATATTTCTTTATAATTCACACGTTCACAAGTGAATAATTAATTTACGATCATTAAAACAAATTACCTCTAAAGTTTAAAGCATACTTTTTCAGGATACCAATTTATCTACACAATTTTAAAATTTACTAGTACACTAAAGAGTGCCATCACCGATAGTTGCCATGGACTCACCAGTTTGCACTCTGGCCTACACATCCCGTCTAGGCTACAACTGTCCCTCAGCTTCTGCAGGAGGGCAGCTGATGCTGGGCTCTTCATGTTTACAAATGTCATCCAGTCACATCCTTGTACAGGACGTCCAGCCAGCCTGTCACAGGTTGTCACGGGACCAACTTGGACACAGTCTAGATGAGTTTTTTTTTGTTTTTTTGGCGAAGGGGTGGGGAGTGCGGTTAGTATCAATGGTTGTTCCAAGGTAATAATAATTTTTATTAAAAAGGGACAAATTGTCAACTAGTGGGTAAGTGAGAGATTATCGTGAAATATTTAGCGCTAGGAACACGACGTCTCTCTCCAAAAGGACCTTCGGAGACATGCGCTTCCGTGGGTTCAATAAAAATTCTGTAAGTTTACTCTCTGGAGTATTTCAATGTAATTCACATCACTTCCGATATGGACCATACAAATTGATGTCTTCATACAAAAAAAAGAAAAAGTCATTCTAAAGCACTATACATTTTCCTTGATTTTATCACACTGGCTTTGATTTTGCTAGATATTCCAGAGTTTGACCAACTATTACAGTTCCAACGTTCAGACTTATAATAATTCTCTTTTTACCAAAGAGTTGGTAATAAATCTTAAACTAGTGTGAACTATTCAATAGGATCCTATGGGTTGAATTTTAAAAAAAAAAAAAATTATTATAAAATATTAAATAGAACTAAAACTGAAAACAAGGGAGGCAATGTTAAAGAACAAAAAAAAAATATCTTCCTCACTGTTCGTGCTCCTGACGGCCCTTGCCGGATACACCGTGAGAAACATGACGCACATCTCCTCCTGCGTGGACTCGCCAAAGTAAATGTACCGTTTTGAGGACATGGAGTTGAACACGCAGGTGGATCTGATCTCATCGCCGGGCAGGACCTGGATAGGTGGATCGTGACTGAGGGCAGTGAAGGAGGACATGAACGAGTGGGAGGACTTACGCTTATCTAAGGTGTATTTTGTCAGGCTGCATGATGCCTAATACCCAGAAATCGTTAGACATGCGCTCGGTTTTGTCAAAATGTCCGTGTGTGAAAAATATTAAGGCTAGTGACATAACTCAATAAAAAATAGTGCTGCATTTTTGGTGTGCTTGTTTTGTTGTTTTTTTGAGCAGAACAACATTACAAGGATGAGCGGAGTTCAAAAGTGCTCTTCATGCGGGAGGACATCAACTAATAGATACGCTAGAGAGAGGAATATGGTTGCTTACATTTTTTTTTCATAAGTCATTAAATTTATAATACAAAAAAAAAAACATCAATATTTATTTTACACATATATTAAATTTGAATGCTCTACATTACTTCATTTAAAAGCCTGTAAATTTTGTCTAAAAAAAAAAAAGCTGGATCTATCTCTTACAAATTATTTCCGCACAGCCTTGCTCTGGTTTATAGACGTATTTGATTTTAAGAGCGAAAATACGAAATCTTTTTTTTTTTTAAATCATGAATTTTACTAGAGCACTGGACATTGGATGAACTCACAGAACCAATGCTCCGTGGCGGGGACTGGCTTCAACAAACCAAATGTCATCAATATATATCGCTACGTTTTCGGAGATCTTTTTAAAGGATAAATGGGGAACGCATTCTGTGATTCTTTTGGTCATACAAAAAACATTAACAACGTACATATGCGATACAGGACTGTCATAGCTGTACACTTCATCGTAGGTCAGATCCGTGACCTTTGACCCGTTTCTATACAACTCAACTCTTCCACCGCGACCTAGTGAAAGAATAAAAACAAAAACACAAATGTAAACAAACAAAAAAAACAATTTAAAAAAAAAATTAGTATTTTGTGAGCAGGATCGAGTTATATCAAAACAACAATTATTATTAAAATGCAACCAAATTTAAAAAAAATAAAAACATGTTTAAAATAATGCAGTGGGGGATACTAAAGCTGATAATGAGGCTTGATGGCATGGATGCAAGGGTTACAGGTCGCCTAAATATGTGTGTATGTATGTAACATTTTTACCTAAATAATGCATGTGGTTTAGTCCCATGACCACATGGACAGGCTCAGAGAAGATCATTTGGGTGCAGCTTCCTGGGCAGATACCGGACTGGACGTAACTGGTCTGACCTGTTGGCGTGAGACTGAGACGTTACTGAACGCCTACAATCAGTTTGTATGCAAATCATGACATCGAAAACAGAAATAAATCTATACGGGTTACAATTCTGAGGTTGGACTTTTAGCTCAAAATCTATCAATTTTTTTTCCGATAACACACATGCACAAACAGACACACACACACAAGCACTCACAAACACACATACACACTCACACACATACACAGAGGCACAACGCCTACAAGTACACACACACAAATACAAACAAACACACAAACCAAATCAAACTGCTGTAGGTTTTACAGTCAATAAACAGCTAGCTGCAATACTAAAGCCCTGACGACGCTGAGAAAGGCAAGCTCACCTGGCGGGATCTCCAGGACATTTTGGCCAACTGCAAACATGGTGAGATCATTGATCGTGTCCACGGCAGGTTGGTAGTAGATCCGTATGCCGCTAGAGTCGTAGTAGTTCTGGACGTTTTGCGGGTTGTTCCAGTGGACCTGAAATGTAAACAAACAAAAAATTAAAAAATCAGATTATTTATGTAGTTACGGTGGGGAAATTTGGACTCGCGCAACAGTTTCTTTTTTTAAAAGAGATTTTTAAAATAGTCTTTCCGAGGGTTTGATTTGAAGGCAAAACATATCCTTAAGTTTACAGCAAAGGTGCACTTTAAAAAAAAGGAAGAAAAAAAAAAAAGTTTCACGTTTAATTCTGGTCACTCACGCAAGCCAGGGGTCAGTAAGTTAAATTTTGCGAAGAAGAGTCAAGTTACGTGGCAGCAACGCTCTGTTTTGTACCGATAAAATTAAGGACATAAAAGCTCCCAGATTTGAACCATTTTAAGTTCACGCTTGTGACCGAATACACAAAAATTTAAGAGTTGTTTAATCACATTATTAACGAATGAGTGCAATTAATCAAGTTTGGTCAGTGGAATGTATTAATGGCCACAGTACTAGCAGAATGTATTGATAGCCTCAGTACTAGCAGAATGTATTGATAGCCTCAGTACTAGCAGAATGTATCGATAGCCTCAGTACTAGCAGAATGTATCGATAGCCTCAGTACTAGCAGAATGTATTGATAGCCCCAGTACTAGCAGAATGTATTGACAAACTAAGCACTAGCAGAGTGTATAGACACACTCAGTACTAGCAGAATCGGAAAGAGCAACATCAGGAGAAAATGAATTTTTCTCCTTCTCTTTCTTTTGGTGAATTTATACGACCGTACAGGTTTTCTCATGCGCACTGTATAACAAAGTGCGAAAAAAAAATAATGTCATCTTGGTTGTATAGTGTTAGTGAAAATAATTTCCAGTCAGATCACAGCGCATTCCACCCGATAGGGGGCTTTTCACGTGCGACCTTATGAACTATTACCTGCATCATTGCCCGACTGTACGTGCTGTTACCAATTCTGAAGCCAACAGTCGAGGGGAGACAACTGCCCGGTGTCCCGACGGTCCACGCCGCTAAGATGTCGTAGCAGCCGACACTCTCCGCGTTCATGCCACACGGTACTGGCTGGTCATAGCGGACTTTGCTGTCTGGAAGATACAAAAAAAATTTATAATTGATGTAAAGGAGATATCGTGTTCGATTCCTCAAAGGAGGAATTTTGAAAATGTGGCTTTCAAAAGGAGGCATTTTGAAAATGTGGCTTTCAAAAGGAGGAATTTTGAAAATGAGGCTTTCAAAAGGAGGAATTTTGAAAATGAGGCTTTCAAAAGGAGGAATTTTGAAAATGAGGCTTTCAAAAGGAGGAATTTTTAAAATGTGGCTTTCAAAAGGAGGAATTTTTAAAATGTGGCTTTCAAAATGATGAATTTTTAAAATGTGGCTTTCAAAAGGAGGAATTTTTAAAATGTGGCTTTCAAAAGGAGGAATTTTGAAAATGTTGGTACGGTATAGGGAAGCTAATTTTAGCATCACCATGTGAATATTGTTTTACAATCACATCATGCATCATATTTATGTTTGTTTATATATATATATATATATATATATATATATATATATATATATATATATATATATATATATATATATATATATATATATATATATATATATATATATAGAAACAGATGTGTTTTTAATAATATATATTCTGTATATTATATTATAAATATATTTATTTATTATTTTATTTATTATATAATATATATGTATATATATATATATATTTAAAGCCAGAAGCTGGTATGAATTTAATAATCTAGTTACTGAATATGATACTTGAAATATCATCAATGATAATTTCATTTCCGAAATATGATAATTCGAACATCAACAATGACAACCTCTGTTGTTCGCAATGAGTATAAGTGTGATTTTACCACAACCAGAGGTAACAGACATCGTGTTTGAAAGATTAGAAAAAGTGTGGCACTTGGGTATAAAAACTTAAAATTTAAAAAAAAAGAGACTTTTCGCAAATACCATTTTTGTATTTATTAGGATGAAAACTGGGGGAATTATTTTCTAAAAACAGCTGAACTGTTGTTAAATGCATTCTTGTTAATTGCACTCCGTTTAAATGGAGGTGATTTCCGAATCTTTTGTTCCCCGTAACTGAAACTTGTACGTTTAAAAGAACCAATCAATGAGTCTGCATCAGCCAGGATCGCACGCAGGGGCGTAATTTGGGTAGGTCTTTTATTTAAATTGCTATGTACTGGGGCGCCTCCAGTAATCAATAACTCAACAAGCCGGCCAAGTTTTGGTTTTGCCCCCCCCCCCCCCCTAAAAAAAGGGCGTAATTTGGGTAGGTCTTTTATTTAAATTGCGATGTACCGGGGCGCCTCCAGTAATCAATAACTCAACAAGCCGGCCAAGTTTTGGTTTTGCCCCCCCCCCCCCCTTGAAAAAAATATCCTGAAATGAAGGCCGTGCTTGCACCATTTCCGCATTAAATTAGCCTTGTTCTAGAACAGTGGTTCTTAACCTGGGTTCGATCGAACCACGGGGGTTCGGTGAGTCAGTCTCAGGGGTTCGGCGGAGGTCCCCGAAAAAATCAGGAAAAAAAAATCATATTTTATTTCTCCTATAAAGAATGGTTCGGTGAATGCGCATATCAAACTGGTGGGGTTCGGTATCTCTAAAAAGGTTAAGAACCACTGTTCTAGAAGCTTTTTAATATTACATTTAAACCCAAAAATCTACTACACTCTTCTCAAAGAAACGCCTCAGTCTATAATTTTTTTAAAAATGTCATTAATTTTATGAAAGTTAAAAAAATATATATTTGCTTTAAAAAAAGGATTTATTTTCCTGCAGTAGCGCCCCTGGTTAATAAACCCTGATTTCACTATGGCGTCCATAGTTACCGCTGACACAACCATAGAAGAGGATGTGATGCATGACGTCTCGGTTGACGATGACGGGCTCGAACGCTATGATGTGGTACTCCTGGTCGGCTGGGAGGTCATAGGTCATACAGTAGTAGCTCGTCTCCTGGGCCGGGACAAGAAACCTCGGAAACTGTTTGGTGATGTTAAGCACTCCTAGGGTAGGGAATATGAGGGAGAATTGAAAAAAAAAAAAAAAAAAAAAAAAAAAAAAGAAAGAATATTTTGCTATATAGTTGTTTTTTTACAGTCTTTGACATTTTAGTCTTATTTATATATAATGTTTATTTATATGAAATGTATATATATATGTATAAATTTCAAGAGAGTCTTTGTAATTCATTTGATCTTACAACTGTTGGCTCTGTGTAACTTAAAATGAGAGCTCCTATATAATTCAGTTGGCTTACACGTCACAAGTTGCATATAAATTTGTTGCTGTTGTTGCCAGCAATACATTACCTGGTTGCTTGACCCTGGTGCAGTTGTCGAACCCTTGCAGCTCACAGTTCACGAAGCTGTCACGACCTTTACACAGGGTCGAGTTGATCGGCTCACACACACCTGGATGTCAAGGGCACACAAAAAATCTAGGTGATCATTTCAATGTTGTAAAATCTTCCGATAATTGGAAAGACGCGACAATCGTAAAAGGTACTTAAACAACTCATCAATGAGTCTTTTTTGTATGTTCTCTGTATTCACAATCCGTTCGACAATCAACTAATGGAATCGAAGCCATAAAAAGACCAGGAACATTTTCCCTACTGTATTTACCTTTGTAAAGCTTGTTTAACAGCTATTCACAATCAGTATGAAAATATATTATTATTTAAGATGTAAATTTAGAGGGCGTTAACTTGTAAATAAATTTTTTAAGTGTAGCGAGCAAAAAAAGTAAATTAGTTTCTACATTAATTAGTTTCAAATGATATTTTTTTAAAAATAATTCACAAGTAATATCACAAGCCTGCTATTCTTCATTCATCTTGTTTGTCTTGATTTGGTAAACTGATTCATTTAATCTTTCCATAAATAAAAAAAAAAAATCACCAAAACACCCATTTCACTTGTATTGTCTCAATCAAATAACATAATTACCAACTGTAAATTAAAATTTTTCCCTATCCCTGTGGATTAGGTAAAAAGTAAAAAGAAGAAGGCCAAAGAATACATGGAGACGCCAGTTAGAGGCAGACACACAAAATACAAAAGATACACCGTGAAGCAACTGGAAAGGAAAGCACAGGAACGTGATGAACGTAAAATTCTTGTGGACGGCCTATGCCCCAAACGGGGTAAAAAGGCATTAGAAGAAGTAAATTTAGTTAAATTTCATACAAAAGTTATGATCAATGTTTATAGGTTGTTATATTATCCACGGTATTTTTTTTTAAAGCAAAAATAGCATTCGCATTCCCGGGTGGATGAGACTCAATGGATGATTTCAATGGATTGAAATGATTTCCCGTTGACGGTGTGAATTTGATACGATGAAGATTCCCGTCAACCTCTGCGATGCCACTGGTGCATTACTGTATCTTTCTCACAAGATACCTCCTTTGGTGACTCTGATGCGTTGAGGAAGAGGGATTTGAAGAAAAATCCCAGGATTTCATTCTTCAAAGTCTACACCCTCACCACATTGTGAAGTCTACACCCTCACCAAATTGTGAAGTCTACACCCTCATCACATTGTGGTCTACACCCTCATCACATTTTGAAGTCTAAACCCTCATCACATTGTGAAGTCTACACCCTCATCACATTGTGAAGTCTACACCCTCATCACATTCTGAAGTCTACACCCTCATCACATTGTGAAGTATACACCCTCACCACATTGTGAAGTCTACACCCTCATCACATTGTGATCTACACCCTTATCACATTGTGAAGTCTACACCCTCATCACATTGGGAAGTCTACACCCTCATCACATTGTGAAGTCTACATCCTCATCACATTGTGAAGTCTACACCCTCATCACATTGGGAAGTCTACATCCTCATCACATTGTGAAGTCTACATCCTCATCACATTGTGAAGTCTACAGCATCATCCCAAATTGATGGACGATTGCCAGAATTTTTATGTGTGGTTTGTTTTTTTTATAGTTTTTAAAACTTTTTTTGTATATGTTAATATTTTTTCTTATGAGCGGTGCTTAAGAATATCCCAAGACGAATCCATACATTGTTTAAAAGTATTACAATTTTTTAATGTTGCAGTGACATTGAAGCAAAACAAAAATTGACGAGGGTTGCTGGAATACACAAAGTTTATAAATGTTTAGGTTTTTATTTATATAATATGTAAACTCTGACATCACACTCTCTTCCTCTGCCAGAAACCTTGGAGTCACGCTTACAGACACACTCTCCATGGACATCCATGTCACGAATATATGTAGATCAGCATATAACGAAATTAGAAAAATCAGTACCATTAGACACCTCCTCTCCTTTGATACCACAAAAACTCTCGTCTCTTCACTCATTCTTTCAAAATTTGACTTCTGTAACACTCTTCTCGCAGGCATTCCTCAACACCACATAGACAAACTTCAGAAGGCACAGAACTCAGCATGCAGACTCATTTTTAAATCAAAGGAACATGACCACATTCAACCACACATGCGGCAACTCCACTGGCTTCCAATATCCTCTCGCATCAAATAAAAGTCTGCCAATCTATGCTTCAACTCGTTCACTGACCCTCACTTTCCTGTCTATTTCTCTGAACTGTTGCTTCCTTACATCACCACAAGACAACTACGTTCTTCCATTGACAATAGAACCCTCTCAATCCCAAGAACCAAAACTAAGACCATCGGTGAACGCTCCTTCTACTTCCATGGGTCCTCGTTCTGGAATATATGCGATTGTTTGCCGTAGATGCCAATCAAGTTACATAGGGGAAACTGGGAGAAGATTGGCCGATAGGTTTACTGAACATCTAAGGGATATTGAGCAATGTAAACCTTCCCCGGTCTCTTCTCATTTCAACCAAAAAGAACATAAAGGTGCTTTGGATGTAACCATTACGGCATTGATTTCATGCAGTAACACACCAGATAGGGTTAAAATGGAAAATAAATTTATTCAGCTGTTTGGCACCATATCTCCATATGGTATTAATCAAATAATATCCTACTGATGTTTCTCCGTCTCCCTATATTTCATCTATTTTCTTATTGCTGTTTGTTGATGTATCCCTTGATATTCTGGCCCATTATTATTGTGGACTTTATTTTTCACGGTGTCTATATTTATTTTCTCTAATCAAATAATATCCTACTGATGTTTCTCCGTCTCCCTATATTTCATCTATTTTCTTATTGCTGTTTGTTGATGTATCCCTTGATATTCTGGCCCATTATTATTGTGGACTTTATTTTTCACGGTGTCTATATTTATTTTCTCTCGCTTCCTGTTTTCCCACTTCCGGAGAGACGAATGAATACTGCTTGAGTTTTCTACTGTGTTCTTTTCTTTGTTGTATTTTCATTTCTATTGTTGGCTGATGAAGGCTTTATGCCGAAACGTCCTTGTTTTTTGTCCTGTTACCTTTTTTCAAGCTTCCACATACCTCGTTTCACTATTTCATTCTCGTTCTGGAACCAGCTCCCCTTCTATATCCGCCACTTTGTGAAACCTCGTCCACTTTTAAAAAGTCCCTTAAAATCCATCTGTTTAGGTCCGCCTATGACCTGTGATGCACCCTCCTTGCCCTACCTCATTTTCTGTCTCGGGTTAATCCTGTATTATAGGCCAAAAGGTGCCAAAGTGTCCTCGTTTTATAGCCATTTTAATTGTTTCTATAGTATAGTAGTTACTAACCTAGTGTCTCATTTTTTATTTTAATTAATTCACATGTTTTTAATAATTGTAAAGCGCTTAGAGCTTTAAGGTAAGCCCTATATAAAAAATGCCGAAATAAATAAATAAACCGTGTAAGCTAAATAAAATAGAATGAACATCACTTGCTTTTTTATGCAGCCGTTCTAAAATGACGTTACACTATTTCGCCGATTTTTGTAAACCCCCCCCCCCTCTCGCTTAAATAATTTGTATCATAACTAAGACACTATCATCACATATCGTCACAATTCAGCCCATCACATGTCGTCACAATTCAGCCCATCACATATCGTCACAATTCAGCCCATCACATGTCGTCACAATTCAGCCCATCACATATCGTCACAATTCAGCCCATCACATATCGTCACAATTCAGCCCATCACATATTGTCACAATTCAGCCCCTAACCACCTAATGCCTTTTATGATTTATGGATAGCCGCTATGACACGCAGGTGTCTGTTCTTTTATACACGAATGCCCCCCTACCCCCCACCCCCAATAACTCACCCGGATGTGAGATGCCGTCCGTCCTTGAAGGTAATTGACCACTGGTCCACACGCAGCTGGGGTCACCAAGTTCCTCTCCATTGCTGCGACCGTCGCCATCAGTGTCCATAAGACACAGCTCTCTGGTCCACTAGCAAACAGAAAAATGCACAAGTCGTTTCTGGCAGTTCAGTAAACTCAGATCTTTTGCTAAAACATACCATAATTTTTACACATCATAAGGGAACGAACTATATTAGTGGTTCTCAATCTTCCTTAATGCCGTGATCCTTTGATACAGTTCCTTATGTTGTGGCGATCCCAACCATAAATCTATGTTTATTTCTACTTCATAAATATGTTTTCCGATGGTCTTAGGTGACCCCCGTGTAAGGGTCGTTCGTGCCCCCTCGATTGAGAACTGCTGGACTATATGGTATACAGTGTAAAGCGCATAACATGTCAGTGGCAGGGAGTTTAGAGATGTCACATGGGAAATTGACATTTATTGTTAGAACCTAATCTTTTAATTCTAACCTAAGAGCGAAGCATATAAGTTCCTGGCGATGATGTCATTGCTGACCAAAGAGATGCACGGACAAACCTTGTGACCAGCAGAGGCAAACGCCAAGCCAAATGGGTTCCTGGCCCCGCCGCCATTGGGGTTCTCGTGACCCAACCCGCGCCACATGTAGTTGACCTTACACGGATGGGGTACATTGTTGCCGTTTGGGAGCTGTTCTTGGTACGTGGCGTAGGGCAGAACAGGGGAGATGAGCAGCGCGACCACCAAGCTGCTGATATGATGAGGAGATTTTGGATTACGACAGTGGGAAAAAAAACCAGAAACAAATCTTAAAACTTATGTGACTTCCTGAATAGAAAAATATACTTTTATAATTAATAAAAGTCAAGAATCTGAAACAAATTATTTTTTTTCCCCCAATCATCGGGGCTAAGATACCCGGCATGATTGTAATAAATATTTTATAATCATTACATATTTCACGAGACGTACTGTAAAATTCGCTCTATAACTTACAATGACCTGAAGATGGCACAGGAGGAGGTCTCTAGAGACAATTTGAGAGTCATGGTGTTTGGATCCAGGCCTTTTTACTGTACAAGAGAGCAAAATCTGCAGAACTTATGTTGATTTATGAAAGAATCGTTCACGATTGTTGGAATATGCGTAAAAAATAGGGAGGGGGGGGGTTTGACCTGATGCAATGAGTTTCAATGTAACGTGACGCTAGGCTAAAACACAGATTCTGATTCTGTTTATACTTTCAATGAAATATTCTTGCCCCAAGATTTGATTTCTCATGATAGCCATGTCTTTATTCAATAGAATTTTGATAATAATAATGAAGTAATAAACAGTGTTAAATACTAAATCCAAGTGATTTTGACAAAATTTCTAAAATTATTTAAATTATTTTTCTTTAAACAGATTTAGATTAACCATTAAATTTGTTACAGGCACACAGATTAAAAAAAAAAAAAGAAGCAAATTAAATGAATTTTATGCAACATATTGTGATAAAAAAAAAAAAAAAAATCTAAAAAAATAAACTTAAAAAATAAATTTAAACATCAACTAAATTTATATTAAATTGTTAAATAAAGAAAAAAAAAAGGATATAATACATTTTAGATATTTAATTACCAATGATTTGAAATACGTCCTACCACGTCTTGATTAGATCACACGCTGTACGACTGTTGAAAAAATACAGTCCTAGAGCTGGAGACACCGCCGTTGAAACCAAAACGTTATTTTCTTTTTACAAAAGTATGTGGGGGGGGGGG